ACTCGGCTGTTGACAAAATCAGGCCACTCTCGATGTTAGCCACGTGATGGTCTGTTTTCTCAGCAGCAACCATTGTGTGGTCCTCCTCATTGTTCTTTCGGTCGATGCGTCGTCGACTTTGGAAAGCAACCGTTTCGTGATGAGTGTGTGAGTGATGACCACGTTTTGCGTCCGTTGCTGCAATGGAAGCGCTCTGCCCCCCGTTGGCGATCTGCCATACAATGAAACCACTGGAAGTGGCTTCCATTCTGATGGAACAGGCTTTTTGGATAGCGGAAGATAAAGTGTTTATTGTGTTTTACCTTATGACTATAGTTTTAAGATATAAACAATATATTGAACAATAATCCTCGGCTCTGTTAAGTTCATTAGATTGAACCTTATCAAATAAATTAATAAAAAAAAACAAAATTGGTCCGATTCGTCGAACTTCTTCTGAAAATTCACATCATCTGCTTCGGGATAACTTTCCTCGATTTCTTGAACTCCTTCATTGGTATTTACATTGTTTTTGAATTTTCTAATATAAGAGCTCGATGTAGCTTCTTGTTTGATGGCATATGGTGGTCACGTCAGTTTGTTGTTGTGAGAACTGCGGTTGGTTTAGTTGATTTGCATTTTGATTGAAGTTTTGGTATTGGAATGGTGGTCGTGTATTTGAACTTCGGCTGGGATTATTGAATCGGACTGGTAGTCTGGGGTTTACGGTAGGAAAATAATCTGGTCGTCGGTTTTGGTTAAGGTATCGTTGTTAGGCGGGCCAGGCTGAGGTTTTAGCAAAGATTTAAAAGAGTCAGGGTTCTGTCTCGGTTTACCTCTGTTTTTTTCCTGTCAGCTGCATTAGATTGGTCTAATGCGTGCTAATAAGCAGATAGTAAGCTGTTTGGTCAGCTGGTTATAGTGAGTGAGGATATTAGTTCATGCAGTCCATCTATGTAAGCAGTTGTTAGCAAAGTTTCGTAAGAAGCCATAATTGCTTTAGCACCCAGTTTCAAGCGCCATCCACTAGTCATCACACTGCTACTTCACAGAAAATTCTAAGTCAGCGAAACACAGCACTGTTGTCAATCGCGATAGTGAAACTCGCTGACCGCTCCGGAAATACGATCCTCGGTTGTGCATTGTTGGACAATGGTTTACAAATCTGCATGTTTACGGAAAATATCTCTCAAAGGTTAAATTCGACCGGTTCCGTGAAAATTTGCCAGTGAACGGTGTTAGTGATTCGTCGACGGTGCACAAACAATCGGTGTTGGCGAAGATCCTGTCCCGCTATTCATCATTCGAGTCCACAGAGGTAAAGCTTTATGTCCTGCCTCGAATCACCTTGAACCTGCCGCAGCTCAAAATTAACTTCAGCTCCTGGAATTTTCATTGCTGATATCCGACTCACCGATCCAAGCTTCTCCGAATCTAGCTCCGTTGATACAATCTTCTACGAACTACTGCTGGGAGAGCAGATGGGGCTTTGGGAAACTGGTCCGATCTTATGCAATGCTATACTTGGTTGGATAGTGGCTGGAGAAATACCCGAGAACCCCGTTTCCATCTTCAGTGTTACAGTTGCAACGTCGGGAACCACTGAAGAGGTCCATGTGCAGCTTGAACGATTTTGGGAATTATAGACGTGCCGGACGAAGAGCTGCCTATCTATTATCCCTATCAACTACTGCTATCAATACTGTATACATATTCGAGAGCAGTATATAGGTACTAGACCGATGCAAAATTGTGCTCAAACGGTTCCAAATTAGGCCCTGATTAGCCTCCCAAAATTCGAACTCATTTGGTGAGAAAATGACTTGGCACAAACCATTTGAAGTTTACATGGGAATTACTATGGAGAAACCATAATTTCGGTTCATATCTATCTCAAAATAAGCCAGTTCACCCTACTTTTGAAAATTTTCTCAGCTACAACTTTGTTCAAAACCACTTTTCGATCAAATATAAGGAACAAAATTAATGATTCAAGTCACTGATGTCTTATGATTATGCTCAATCAACTGTTCAGCAGGCAACATTGGTGTTTATGGCGTGTAGAATAGAGGACAAAAATCATGGCTGCTATGTCACACTGCAGAATACAGTGTTGCCCACCATACAGTTGCTTAATCTTGCCATAAGATTATCAATCTTTTAAACAATTAATAACTATTTAATTTGACGTTTGGCTGAAAAACAATTTTCTGCAAAGTTGTAGCTGATAAAAATTCCCATAAGAATAGTAATGGAATTTGTTAACTGTACAATATGTAAAAAGGCTAGAAGACAATGAACAAAAAGTTTTGTTTTCCCATAGTAATTTTCATATACACTTCAAATGGTTTGCGCCAAGTCAGATTCTTATCAAATGAGTTTAAACTTTCGGAGGCTAATCCGGACCCGATTTGAAACCGTTTGAACACTGTGGAGCGAAAATCTCAAATTTTGCATCAGTCTAATAGGTACACATGTGCCACAACATGCGACAAGCAGAAGAGAGATCAATCTTTTACTCTTCAGTTTGATATGGTCTGATCGTACAGTGAGTTCTATACTCGTTTATACTTATCTATACGTAACACCAGTCATCTGGGAACACTTTTTTCTTTATTAAAACTCTAGGTCGATTAACATATTTCCACCCTTAAATATCAATTGGTTTCTTGACTTCAAACTAATACACACAAAAAGAAAATGAAATCATTACCAAAACACACTTCCTCCCCTCTCTAGATAATTCGAGCATAATCTGTTGACTCTTGAGCTAAACTGTAGCTTCCGCTGTCCAATGTTGAACTTTTCCAAAACAGCAACAAAAAAAAGAAGAAGGAAACGAAACGCGGAACAATAGCAACATACCCTGGCCCATTTCTCCAAACGACAGTTATCTCCCCAATTAGTTTATAAAAATGTAAATTTCGTTCTCTTTGAACAAACTGCTGTCCAGCCATACAATTCCGGGGTGGGCGCGCGCACAGCCAGGGAGCAACGTTTGTTGTTGTCGTTTTTTATTGGACAGCTATTGTACACATTTATTTTGCTTTTGCTGCTTTGAACTCCAGTCCAGAGTCCAGCAGCTGTTGTCGTATCATTTTTCGTTTCATTTTTTTTCCGCTGGACAATGTCGCTTTTTATTTGTATTTCGTCGTCGTTTGGTGGGGGGTTTTCCTTGTTGTCATGGCCAACAGCAGAAAGCTTTATGGACGGTTCGTTCCGTTTCCTAGTTTTGTTGTTGTTTTGTGTTTTGAAGTGACAATTGAACTAGGATGTTAACGTTTTGTGATTTTATTCTTTTAACGCAGATTCATCCACCCCCACTCACTCGGTATTGTTCTTGTGGCGAGGGGGTGTAAACCACGGTGAGCTGACCACCAGAGATTCTATAGAATGACATTTTTTCCGCGCTCATGCTGAAACAATTTCACCCTCCCGGTCCCCGGGCCTGTTTGCATCTCTCGGCTTGAACGTTGGACTTCCGGTGACATTTTGCAGCGGATTTTTCTCCATTTCTTTCATCTGCTTTCACTTTACCTAGGTAGGTACCCTACATTCAGTCGGGCACTTTATTTGCTATGCTTCACAGTTCATACTCGGTGCATAGCAGCTGTGATTTCAGCGGAGCGTAAACTAAAATAGCGAATATAAATAGAAGAGAAATGAGTTGGCGGGACAAAAGGTGCTCGTCCAGCCCAGAAGAATGGTTTTTGAAGCTGATTCGGTGTTGGAGACGGATCTTCATTAAAAAAAACGAGGATGAGCTTTGAGGAAAACTGCTGCAAAATGTCGCAGTGTCTTAAAAAGAAGCATTTCTAAGGTTTCTCCGACGTATTTTCGTTACAATGGTTTTAAGATTTACCAAGATTTTCAAAACATGGCCGAAATTCAGCAAAAATTGTGAATCATTGCCCATAGTAAACAATTATGCAAAGCTTCATGCAATTCGGAGTAGGTCGATTCTAAAATTATTTGTATAGGGTGTCTCAGAATGTCTAAGCACGACTTTGGAACACCCCTGCTTGTTTCAGATGACGTTTAAACAGCTGATTATCATGCTGAATCATTGTTTACATTTCTACCAACAGTTTCGTTTATTGCAAGTGTCGGTTCTTTACATTTCCGTGACATTGCGAAGAATGTCTCCGGAAAAGCGCAAACAGATCGTGCACAAATGGATACAGATACAGCTCTTTGAACTGTTTTGGCGAGAACTAAAAAATCGCGATGTTCATACTTATGTCCGGCACCGAAAAAAAATCGCGCTTCAATAACATCAAAATTCGTCAGACCATTAATACAGTACATCCCAACTTCATCTCAAACCAGCAAACCCATTTGCCTAGCATTTCTAATGAATTCTCCGAAATTACCCTGCGGAAAACCTCCCTGTGGTGTCCCTTCAAATCCTTAAATATTTCCTCGCATTTCCCCTGCTCCATCGCACGCTTCTATGTCCGAAGTCTTTGCCTTAGGATTTCGACAATCGTCAAACGAAACATCTGCCCTTGCCCTTTCCCTCCCCTGCCTAGGGCAACACGAAGTAAGATCTTTTGGTCCTACCAGCATCTCCCCAAGAAACCGACACGAACTTTGAACTTTTGCCCGCAGCTGCCATGCCCGGATCCTTTCTGTATTCCGCAGTCATCCATTCGGGAGAAACGCAAATGAGTTGACTGAAAAATTTTCGGCTTTAATTCGAAATTAATTACTTCTCGAAAGTCAACGGGACTTTTCTGTGTGTGGCAAAACATGGAGTGGGAAGGAAGCTCCCGAGCTTTGTGTCGAGTCAGCGTCTCAGGGAAGATGAAATCCCACAGCCGGAGAGCGGGAATATAAATTGCACAATACTTAATTTAATTATTTCCTTTAATTGATGGTTTTCGAGGAAAAGTTTTCCCTCGGGCCCGGGTCGATCCTGTTCCAACGTTCGGGAACAGGGAAAGTTTTCCTCGTAATGAGAAGAGATTTATCTTGAGCGTCGGGATTGATTTTTTGCTTTCGATTTTCTCCACTTCCAGTGCCACCGAAGATTACCCACGTGACGTCCGGTGGTCACCTGCAGGTGCGGAAGGGATCTCCGGTGCGGTTGGAGTGCTCGGCTACCGGCAATCCAATGCCGAACATTACGTGGACCAGGAAGAACAACGTGCTGGAGAATGGTAAGTTTGAAACGCCAGCTGTCGCTGCTGGGGAAGACCATTTGTGCGGTGATTTGATTGGCGGTTTCGAATTATTTTTTCTACATCCACAGGGGAAGCCGAATTCACCTCGTCGGTGTACGTCATCGAGAACATGGATCGACACAAGGGTGGCACGTACATCTGCACAGCCAACAACGGCGTCGGTCCGGTGGCCACCAGTCAGATCATACTGCATGTGCTGTGTAAGTATTGAATCTATTACTTAAGGTTACTTAGGCTACTTCCAGAGAAAATCAGGCCTCATTTCGTCTTCAAGGAATAGATTGATTGGTTTCCTTTATTTAGGAGATTTCAACCATAGGCTGGTTTCCCAAGCAATGTCTGAGATGAAATTGATAACTAAATTTTATGTTTTGATGTCACTGATTACTCAGGTTGCTGTCGTTATGGTCGTTGTAACGGTTAAAATATCAAAATATAGAGCAATAAATCAGGCATAACATTTGAAAACGGCACAAAAATCAATACCGTGTACTCCAGAAAATTGCGATTGAAATTTGGAAATTTTTATTTAAATATCTATTTAAATTTAAACACCTCAACAAAAATAAAAATTACTTTATAAACTTCAAAACAAACAGATTTTTAACAATTGTATATGAGATATCATCAATGCTTTCTTTTTCTAGTTCGAATGTTGAGTTTTGGTTTCTTTGCCCCTACCTATAAATGTTTTGACATACGCCCTTGAATTTACGTCAATTACTTTTTGTTTTGTGTTGGTAGTTTGTTTATTGGCCCGGGATTTGATGCCCTTTGCTAAGTGTAAATAGTTTAGAAGTCCTTTGATATTTTTGCTTGATTAGCTGTAGACTGTAGTTTGAATTGATTTCAATACGGATCCGGACTCGAGGCCACCATGAAACTGTCGGGTGATGCATTATTTTGACCTAGGATTACCTATCGATCAAATTTGTCAATGGATCTGACATGAGATATAGCAGAGCAACGTTGTGCCAAATTAACAGTCACAACCATCAAATATCCAGGTAATCTTTTTACAACCTCAAGCTGGATCTGCGTGAGATCGATCTGGGTAGTCCGTTTACCGTTCAAAGCGAACGAACTCATGTCTCCGACAACAACAGTCGTGATCAGGTTAGTCCAGCCTCAAATTTTATCTTTGCACAACGAAGTGCAGTTTACTAGTGAGCAGATTGCATTGGTTCGAGGATTCCAGCATACCGTTTCAAACCACCAACAAGCTAACGATAAATTTGACTCAGCAGAGAAAATCACTGGGAAGTTAATCAAGAATACGTTCAAGTTTTGAGATAAGAAACGGGACCAGCTGCTTCAAGAAAAGCTCGTAGTAAGCTTTATTTTTCACATACTTCAGCAGCTTCCGGAGATCTTCTAGTTTGGCTTGCGGTAAAGGCAACGGAGACAGTGTAATCGGTCCCGGAAGTGGTGGTACCCCTGCCGTTTTTGATTGGAACACGAAGGATGAATACGAAGATTCATTGACGTCATATTTATAGAAAACAGTTCTCGGCGATGTGCGGTATTGGAAGCTCATTATCTGTTTGAATTTGAATGCTTCACCGTTTCTGTTTGCAGTAGGTTTAGTGTAATGCATTTCGATATCCTTGAGCTCCAAGAAATCCGACAGCTCCATTTCGATAACACTGAACGGCACTTGTTGGCGTATGCCAGCGATAAATAGCGCCCAATCGTGAGGCGTTTTTATATCAATAGCACCTACTTTTTTCGCCTTTTCGATACTTGCATGGACACAGCCGACTTCCATGTGGCTATGTCCAGTGCACATGAAATTATGCGTTATTGTGAGCTCTCGATTTGCATTGACACATTCGTCAATGAAGAATGTGAACATCATGCACACCGTTATGTTAAGGTTTTGACCGCCACATCTGTCTGAGTAATATTGCAACCGTGTTACCTCTTTCTTAGTACTTAGCAGATCTTTAAGAAGGCATGATGCTATCTCCTGAGAGCCCCATACGGGCCTTGCTTTCATCCCAGATGTAACAAGTTGCCTGATTCAAACCATCACTTGTTTCGAATGTGGTTAAGTTAAGTCGTGTGTGACACTTTGCGGAGCCAAAATCAGTAATGTTTGAATTTACATTTTAAATAGCAGTATTTCTAGGTTAGTATTGGGTACCAATTACTCGTGGCGGGCTCGAGATTAATGCAGGCTTGCTTCCACTCACTTGCTATAAAAAATTGTTTTTGGAATTATGAAATCATTAGATATTATAATGATCCTTAATAGTTGTATGTCACAAGATAAGGTTTTAAACTAGGTGTTTGACACATAAAGCCTGTCATTATTGCTTTCAGTGCGTCACAATCAGCGATTTTACGATTCGTGAGCGCTCACTCTGAGTGAACGCTCACGAGTCATAAATTCGCTGATTGTGACGCACTGAAAGTTAAATTGACAGGTTTTATGTGTCAAATACAAACCTTCCAACCTTTTCTTGTTTCTGACAAGTACAAACTTTCAAAATAGTATCCAATGATTCCATAATTCCGAAAAACATTTTTTATAGCGAAGTGAGTGGAAGTAACCCTGGGTTAATGGGTAACAATTTCGATTGGAAGGATCTAGGTAGGAAACTGGTTTCTGAAGCCTCCTTCAGATACTACTCTCGGACGGTTGACCAAATCCTGGCTGGACAGGGGCAAGTAGCACAGGAACAGGATGATATTAAGACTGGGACACAATGGCGGGAAATTGTTTGGAAAGGAGGGGATAGTCACATCAAACTCTAACATAAGACAAACAAAGGAGTTCGTAGATCGCTTGCATGTAGGGAAGATCACGTTTTCCCAATACATCTCTTACTTCACGGAAGGGTTGTCTACCTCGGGCCACTAGGGTATCCAATAGTCGTGCTCTGGAAGCACCCGGGCAATACCAAACTGCGTGATCGATGTCATCATAACCGGTTTTGCACCTACATATATTGCTGTCAACGAGGTTTATTCTATAGAGATGTGCGTCTAGCGAGTAGTGGTTGGACAGAAGTCTTGACATGGCTACTTCATGGTGAGCTTCTTGTAATTTTTTCATGATATCTCAATCAAAATCGTCACAGGCTATCTGCAACTTCATTCTAAGCTTGTCACATTCGCCACACGTGTCTATCTTCGGTTTTCTGAAAGAAGAATTGAATGTTTTGCACTTGTGGGATGTTGGACTCAATGCACACTTGCTTGTACAGATCGTACATTTTCATAATTGTATCTAACGTTTGGTAGATATAAGATTTAACACGAACGACAAAATTTATTGATATAACCAGTTAAAATAATAACTTACTGTGCTCTTGCACACCGGTCTAATCGCAACGTGACTGATGAGAAACTGATGTTGTCCCGAGGATTTCAGTTTTATTTTTTTTTTTTTTTTTTTTGTCTTTATTTTAGAGATTTTTAGCCTGAGGCTAGTTCATCTCTTGATTTCAGTTTTAGAAAATTAGACAAAATCTGTTTACGTAGTTTGTCGTTGTATGTTAACAAGCATTTCAATCGAACGCATCCACACGCTGGTTTTACTCTTCGTGCTGGAGCTATTGTACCATCCATCCGAGTGTATTTCAAGCCTCTTACCTTTATGTGCCGGTGAATTTGCCATGCAGCGATTCTTGTTTGTTTGCGTTTAGCATTAAACTTGATTAAAGCTCGATTCAAAGTTAATCTGGACGCACGGTTTAATACACCACAGCGCCCCTGGTGGTTGGAACAAAAAACGTTTGACAGGCATTTGTTGATGTTTCCTTCATGAAGAAATTGGTGAATAGTTTTTCTCGATTGATTGACGAATCATGGAACTTGAGAAAAGAAAATTAATTGTGCACAAACATCTAGAGAACCCTTCGTGGTCAGCCTCAAAAATAGCAAAAGTGTTAAAATTCCCAAAGTCAACGGTGAGTCTTGTAATTAAACTTTACAAGGATACTCTGAGTGTGGAAAGAGCACATCGCATCTATCATAAAAGTGGCACTAGGGACAAAGAGCTGAGGAGAAAGGTGTCTCCATACGTGATTTGGCAAAGAAATACGATTTCAACTGTTCCACCGTGCGTAACATCCTTTCAAGAGAAGGATATAAGTCTTTTTGTGCCAGTAAACATCCAAATCGCTCCCTGAAACAAAATTTAGTGGCCAAAAAGCGAGCACGATTACTGTACGAACGAGTTTTGACGAAATTTGGTGGCTGTAGTTTAATGTATGACGAAACATATGTCAAAATGGATTATAAACAAATCCGCGGACGAAAATTTTACCTGGCAACTAGTCGTGGGGATGTCCTTTCCAGGTATAAATTTGTTTTTGTTGAAAAGTTTGCTCGGAAACTAATGATTTGGCAAGGAATCTGCAGTTGTGGCCTTAAATCCAAGGTTTTCATCACATCTCACACAATGACGTCGAAGCTTTACATTTAAGAGTGTCTGTAAAAGCGGATTTTACCCTTCATTCGGCAACACAAGACCAACGATATGTTTTGGCCGGATCTAGCCAGCTGCCACTACTCTAAGGAGGTACTCGAATGGTATGCTGCAAACAATGTTAATTTCGTCGCCAAAGAGATTAATCATTCGAATTGCCCTGAGTTCAGACCGATCGAAAAATATTGGGCAATTGTCAAGCGAAAACTTCGAGGATGCAGTAAAGAAGTGACAAATGCACAACAAATGCGTTTAAAGTGGAATAAGTTCACCGGTACAGTGTCACCAGCGACTGTGCAGATCATGATGGCATCGATCACAAGTAAAGTGCGACAGTTCGTTCGGAACGGTGAAATGTAATCACGTGTTATGTATCGTTTGAAATCAACCGTTTGATCAACCGTGTATGTTGTTTTATTCTTGAGTTATGATCAATTGAATGCGTCCAAATTTACTTTGAATCGGGCTTTAGTTCGCCGGCTTCATCGGACGCTTCAACATGATTTTCAGAAAATGTTGCAATGGCTGAAAGTGGACGGCGTGGTATTTCCAGAAGTTTCCCTTTGTGGCAAACCTTAAAGTTATTTATCATAAGTGATTTTCTCAAGGATAGGGCATAGGACAAATCTTACCAAGGTAGGTTTAATGATATATTATGGAAGAAAAAAGTATAAATGACTCTCCAAAATATATTATTACCACAAACCAAACTACATTTATAAGTCAATATAAAACTTACCAAGCGTCTCATTCTCGTCATCA